CCCTGAAACCCTGAAACCCTAAAGCTGAGAGCCGAGCTCTTGGACCTTCTGCTTGAAGGCTTTCCGCTCTTCCTCTACCTCCCAGGGTTTCAGGCTTCAGGACTCAAGGGATTGACTGGAGAGTTGGGGTTTCTAAAGATTCCAGTGTACAAGGGATTGAGGATTTGGGCCTTGAGGGTACAAAAGATTAGAGTTCCAGCGTGTATTGTTTAGATTCCGAGGCCCCCAGTGCTCGGAAAGCAGTGGAACACATGTGTAGAGATGTCTGGATGCAAGCCTCCCAAACAACACCCGATCGTCCCCAGTGAGTCTCACATCAATCTACCTAGGACGCCTATGGAACCAGTCCTATGGGAGTGGGGTTGGCGAGAGCTGTCTTTGAACAAGCAGGACTGCCTGGCAATTTAGAAGCAGAAGCATGGAGCGCCCCGAACAATACAGGTTANNACCCCTAAAGGTCCAAGGACCAAAATGGTAGGGTTTTAGGGCCCAAAGAATATGCTATTAATGGTAATTATTTGGGCCCTAAAACCCTATTATTTGGGTCCTTGGACCCTTAGGGAACGTTTCTGACAAAATCAGCTGAACTACGAGAATAGCATGCCACTATATTGCTAGCGAAACCTGGCATCGCGAGCGCTGGGTCCTGCTCTCCTCTTTCAATCTGCCGGGCGAAAGACTGCTTAAGCCCCCTAAAGCAAATATCAGAGCTGGGACTGAGGCTATAGTCCCCCTTAAGTAGATAGAATATGGGGGGGGGGAGGGTTATTTTGGCATAATGGGAAAAATGGAAACTACCATTTAGGATTTAGGGTTTACGTATAGGGTTTAGGGCTATAGTCCCCCTTTAGATAGAATATGGGGTATATGGGGATCTTATTATAGTATACCAAAAGCCACATTCTATCTACTTAATGGGGACTGTAGGGCAACAATCACCTACCTCCACAGGTCAACACACATCTTGAATCCAAGTTCTTGAGCTGTCCGGCGTTGGGAAACATACCATTCAACACATGCCTAGAGTTTAGCGAAGGTGGAACTTATGGCCGCAAAGCAATCGCAACCGCGTACCCGGTCACTGCAGCCTCATTCAAGATCAAATACGCCAGCATAGCCACTAGGCGCCTTAGTCGGAATTCGCTTCTATGTCTGTATACAACACAGGAACAACACAAAAACATGACATGTTGAAAGAGTCACAGCTGCACAAAATTTTGGAACACCAAAGGTTGCAACTCTACAGCCTTGTCTCAAGAAGCCTGCAACAAACAGCTACAAGAACCTTTGCTTTGCCTAAGCTCTAACCACCGTACCCCACACCCAGAACTCTAGACTCTAAACTGAACCCTGAAACCTAAGCTCCAAACCCTAGACTAGAACCTGAATCCTAAGACTGAACCCTCAACTGGACCCCTCACACAAAACCGTTGTCAACCCTGAACCGGGAACCTGAATCATACTCATTCCCTAGGGATCCGAATATCCCTAAACCCTAAACCCTGAAACCCTAAAACCTGAATGATACCCAATGGGCCTGCTTTTTTAGCGCCGCCATCTTGTGCGCCCGCTCCTCTTGGTCTCGCCGCCTGAGGCTATGGCTGTTGGGCATTTAGTGCTATAGTCTAAACTTCGTAAAGGGGCTTATATAAGGGGTTATATGGGTTTTAGGGTTTTGAACTTCTTAAAGGACCATATAGGGGAGTATTATAGGGTTCGTATGGGCGGGGGGGGTACTAGGAGTTTAGGCTATGACTCACTTAGTGCCTAGAATGCAGCAGTGCGTTGAAGAGTTTAGCAATTGTGAGTTTCAGGCTTTAGGAGTACAAGAGTTTACTGGGTTGCTGTTAAGGAACTTAAATTAAGTTTCTATATTGGGCAAACCCTATTATTTACTATATATACCTATTATGGTAACTT